TATCGATAATGACATTTTACTTTTAATGTGTAATGAAACAAATCGGTACGCACACCAGAGGCTAAATAGTGGACCAGTTAGAAGAAGTAGTAGAATGTCTAGATGGAAAGATGTAGATATTGATGAAATGAAAAAGTTTTTAGGTGTTTTGATGTTTTCTGGTGTTGTTGTATTTCCTACTTATGAATCATATTGGAAAAAAGACAGTCTATATTATCATGAGTTATTTCACAAAATTGGCATGAGCTATAATAGATTTATAATTATTTTAAGATGTTGGTACTTTGTAGACAATAATATTGCTAGAGATAATACAGACAGGTTATATAAAATTAAACCGTTAATGGATATGATTTTTCAAAAAACACAAAATTTGTACACTCCAGGAAACATTAGTTGTTGACGAATCTATGATAGCTTTTAGAGGAAGACTTTTATTTCGTCAATATAACCCGTCAAAATCCCATAAATATGGTATCAAAATGTACAAATTGTGTACACCTGAAGGTTTTACATGGGCTTCTAGTATTTATTGTGGTACAGGACCTACTTTAGGAACTCTGGATAAGCCGGGAACAGTTGTGGTAAATTTAGCTGATAGTTTACTTGATGAAGGCCGTTTGATAATAACAGACAATTTTTATACTAGTGTTCCACTTGCTGAATATCTTTATAGCCGAAAAACTGATTTTTGTGGTACTTTAAGAAAAAATCGAAAATGGCTTCCAGTAGATGTAAAAGATAAAAAATTGAAAAAAGGGCAGGTTATAGCAAGACAAAAAGAATTAATTACAATTTTAAAATGGCATGACAAAAGAGATGTTTTGATGTTATCTACTTGCCATGGAGATCAAATTCAAAATACAGGAAAAACAGATAGAAAAGGAAATACAATAACAAAACCAAAAATGATTTTGGATTACAATAATACAAAACAGGGAATCGATGTTTCAGATCAACTAAGCAGTTATTATAATCCACAACGAAAATCTCTTGTTTGGTACAAAAAAGTTGCTATGGAATTACTATTTGGGATAACAGTAGTAAATAGTATGATTATTTTCAACAAACAAGTAAACAAGAAACTAACTTTACTTTCATTTACCGAATCACTGTCTAGAAGTATTTTGTGTACAGAGGTTACAGACAAATCAGAATCTGTGAACATTCAAAAAAATATTTCAATGCATTTTCTTGAACAGTTTGATAGACAAAATGGAAAAATGCAAAGAAAAAGATGTCATGGGTGCTATTCAAGTCTTCGTGAAGATGGACAGTTGAGTGCAGAAGAAGCTGGAAAAAAAGCAAAAAAAGTTAACACACATTGTAAAGTATGTGGTAATGCTTATTGTTTAATTTGTTACAACAAAATCCATTAGTTTTACAAATAAAATGTAATGAAATATAATATACAATAAATAATTTATATATATTATGCATGTATTTTTATTAGCTTATAACAATTACAAACATATTAAAACTATATATCATTAGAAAGCTTATCATCTCCCCAGTCTAACTGTGTTATTATGAATTTCATAGCATGTAGTCCATTCCAATAAAGCAACAGGAAAATTAATGTATGAAATGAACCACATATGGGTCATGGACTGATGAAATAGGTTTGACATGACCCACATATGGGTCAAAGGACTGATCAGTTTTGATTAAATTTAACACATGGACAGTGAACGTGTTAACACAATCTGCTATAATATCCCACTCTATTGCAGTTAAACCATTTGGAGCTCGTCGAAGCGATGATATTGCAGCAGATAATGGATCTTTAATTTTAATGAGTCTCTCAATCATAATTAAACTTGAATTCCACCGGGTATTAACATCCTGTTTAACTTTTAATTCAGGGAGGCCCATGTGTTTTTGAAATTCTTGTAGTTTATCTGTCGCAAAACTACTATGTTTGAAATGCCCTACTATAGCCCGACATGTTTTTAGTACTTGAAGAAATTCTGAATTTTTATTAATAGCTTCATTAACACTTAAATTAAGGGTATGGGCTACACAGGGGTGATGATATTTTTTTAAATGCTCATTAATTGCATTTTTGATATTTGATCCACTGTCCGAAACTACAGTTCCTATTTTATTACTTATATCCCATTGATTAAAAATAATCGAAAGGACGGATGCAATATTTTTACCTGTATGACTACCATGTACTTCTTTGGTAGAAATAACTGGCGAGTATAAATAATCATCGTATATAAAATGACAAGTAACCGTCAAATAAGACTTTGTGGAATCTGATGTCCACATATCCGTAGTTACAGAAACATCATTTACGTTTTTTAACATATATTTTAGTTTAGAAAAAATTACATCGTATTGACCTGGCAGCAGTTTTGTAGTCAACAATTTTCTACTTGGAGGAGTATAAAGTGGTTGCAATTTTTTGGTGTATTCTAAAAATCCAACATTTTCAACTATAGATAAAGGCTGATAGTCAGCTGTAATCATTTTAACTAAGGATTTATCAATATCATTACTTTCTTCAATACTTAATTCATTATTTTGAGTTGAACCAAATAATTTTAGCTGACGCGATCGTTTAGCTGGGATGCCAGATTGGGCTGAAGTTAAAGAATGATTTTGTACATTAGAACTAGTAGAAGGGAATTGAACATTTGATAAATTGTCAAGGCTGTCAATATTTTGTAAATCAGTATCGGGATCATTTGATGTAGACGGAATAGCAATAAGTGTAGGATGTTTCCGTTTTAAATGCTCTTTAAAAAAAAACATAGAAAATAATAAAATAACATTATTATGTCAAAAAATAATATAACTTAATCAATGTATTAATATTAATTATTAAATAGAATTATTTCTAGGATATTTTATAATAAAACATCTATAAAAAGTAAAAATGTAAATTTACCTAATTAAATGTATTTAGATTAAATATAATATTGTAGTTGTACCTTTTAAATTGGTTGTATTCCTATAAAACTTAAAATCTGTCCTACATTTTAGACAAGTTACTGTAGATTTGTCAGCATTTTTTTTAAAATGTTCCCAAACTATGGAACGTTGCTTATTTCCTGGACGCATTTTTAAAAATTTGTATTTATACAAAATTTAGTAACTGCGTTAAGATAATAATTAATAATAAGCTAATAAACTATAGAGTAAACTAATTATTTTTCATCGACTGTATGCTATCAGCAAACTTCAAGAAATGAAATAAATAAATTAGCATTAAGTTATAATCTACAAAATAATAAATATACCAAAATAATAATAATTAAGAATAGTTTATTTTTATGATATTTGAATTTATTTCTATAAATAATAATTAATAAACAATAAATATAGACGGGGAGTAAACAAATTGAAATAAAAATAAAATCATTAGTTATAGGCTATAGCCTTTTGGTATATGTACAAAATTATATTTTATTAGAAGTTATAAATAAATATTATAATCAAGAGTTCGAGTACTCCTTAGGGACTTGGAATTGTCGGTACTGATATTTAGTATTTACTTATGTTTATGTAATATTGTTAACTAATTTTAAATTTTAAAAATTAAATCTCTCCATTAGAATTATGGAATAAAATGATCAAATAAATATTATAATTTATAATATAGAAATATTTCACGTCTACAATGATTTGACTATTAATTTAAAATGTTTAAATAATTCGAAATGAATAATGATGGATAAGTAAATTATTTATTAGTAATTTGTGTGTTCTATCGTTCTAAGAATTCAAGTGTAAGACTGTAAGATCAGATATTTTTAGTTAACTAATGAGTAGAATAAAATAATATTCGAATTACTAGTATTTTATTAGTAACTAGCAGTGGCGGCCTGGGTTCATTTTTTTTGGTCGGCTAGAATTTAAAAAGGCCCCTGACCAATAAGACTAATAGCAAATGTGTAAATGCAAATGGCTATGGGCCTTTTTACAGTTTTACATTTTTAAAGATACCTACTACCCCCACCTCTTCCAAAAAAATGTATAATATGTAACTATTTTTGTAAGTACTTTATTTAAGTTTCAATTAACTTTACCCCTTTGGCATTATAAAAACAAATAACAAAATATCTATAATGTTACCTATTCAACATTGCTGTTGATGCATATACTATAATATTAATAGGTATCATTCTCTACTAGTCTACATACCGGATACTTCATATTATAATATATAAGGACCTGGTTAATATTATTCATATTAATTGTGTGTTCTAAGCAACTTTTGAGTGTCTACAACCGCATTATTATATAATATTTAATATTCAAATAAATAATACAGAATATTCAATGTTTTAATAAATTTTAATAAATAATAATTAATAAATGATCAAATAAGTCTGTAAGTAATAGTAAATGTTTAATATCATTATCAACTAGTTAAAATAAAATGAATAAAATATAGATGAACCATAAATAATAAATACAATTAGTACAAGAGTAATTTTTGTAATTCTAAAGAGGAATTTGCATAACAGGTTATTATTTCTTGTATATCAGGAATTTTGTCACTTTCAATACTGATTAATAGAAGTGGCTCTAATAGTTCTTGACTCAATGACGACCTAAGTCTTGTTTTAATAATTTTTAATTTTGAAAAGGACCGTTCACAATGCACTTGGGTGCATGAAAGTGTTAAAATATACTTGTATACCAAGCATAAATTGGTAAATGCAGATGTATGAAAATTGTACTTGTATAGCAATTTCATAACACATGGTATGCATTTTTTACAAACTGAATTTGTATTTAACCTTTTTGGTGGTGATTCAGACTCCACGTTTGGTTGTTTATCAATATTTTCATCAGAAACATCTGACAGTTCTGATTCACATGCATATTCTCCTTCCAATGACTTTGCTATAGACTCATAAGAAGATGAAAAGTTAATTAATTCTTCTTGGACAATATTGGGTTGTAGTCCATTAATGTTACAAAAATTTTTAAAAATTATTTCATTTTCGCCATCAAAAGTCAATATTTTGTTTTTTATATCTATAAATCTATTTGGATCAAAAAATGACAATGCTTGAAAAATATTCTTATTTTTAAAAAATCGATCCTCGATAGCCATTGATAATTTGTCAATTATTATACGAAAAACTTGTACTCTGTACAGCTTTATAGAGTCATTAACAACTACTTCATCATCCAAAAGTTCTCCTGACATTTTTTTTATCTTGCGTTTTCGTTGTTCAGGTAATTTGGTTTCAATAAAAACATTTGGAAGTATTTTAGTTCTCTGTTCCATAAATTGACTAAATTTTTTGGCTTGTTCATAAATTATGTCAAAGTCATTAGAAATAATTTTGATTTCTTTTTGAAAAGTTACAATCTGATTCCAAGCAGCTAAATAATCTAAACATTTGGTTTGTAAATACTTAGAAACAGGAGTAGCTTTACTAAACACATGAAGGTATAAAAAAGAAGTAAGTATAGTATCAAATTGTGTCCATTTATCCAACAAATTTCTAGCTTCAGCTGCCGTTTCTCCATCAGCAATATTGTCATAACCTATTGAGTGTAGTACTTCTAGTAAACAAATATATCTTTCCCTCTTATCATTTTCTTCATTATACAGAATGAAATATTGCTTTTAAAGCTCCATCTTTACTGTTCCATCTTGTTTCCCCTATTTTTTTCAATTTTATAAGTTTTTCATGTCCATTTTTTTTTTGCAAGATAGTTTTCCACAAATTTGACCTTTTATAGGAACGTGAAATAAATACTGCAGTTTTTTGACAATGTGCAAATAAATTTTGAGATGAGATACAACAATTTGTAGCATCACCTATGATTAAATTTAATACATGAGCATGACAATGAGTAAAGATTGAACTTGGTGAGTCTTTTTTTAACTGAGCTTGCAACCCAGAGTACTGTCCACTCATATTAGAGGCACCATCAAATGATTCACTGACTAAATTTTTTAAATCTATAGATAGACTATCCAAGTTTTCTTTTACCAACAGATATTGTTCTATTCCAGTTGAAGATTTTACTTCAATCATTTTTAAAAAACGTTCCTGAACTTCACCTTTAAGAACATACCGAATACATAAAGAAAGTTGATCCATGACAGCTACATCTTGTGTGGAATCTATTTCTAATGAAAATATTTTAGCTTCAATAACTTCTTGAGCAATTTTTTTCTTCATCAAATTTCCAATAATAATTATTATTTTATTGAAAGTATTTTTTGATAAGTATGTGTTGAAAGAACCCCTTCCTCTTGGTCCTTTAATATTTTTAGAGTCTGTAGAAATTTTCATTTTTAAACTTTTTTTTGAAATTTCATCAATATGATTTTTTAACACAAGGTCAAACTTTGCCACTAATTTAACGATTTCTAAAAAATTCCCTTTTTGTGAAAAAT